GCAAATTATTAATGATATAAATTGGCCACAAATAATACATTGCTAACGAATCATTCATTTAAATATATCAAAAAACTTAATTTAAATGTTATGATTTTGTCTAAAATTAAAAAACTTTCCAATTTTATAATAACTTTTAAAATTGTAATAACTTTCCCTCTTTAAAATTGAATAAATTAGCAATTAAATAAAGTTAAAACCTGTTCCGGATATGTTTCATTTTTTGATGACATCCATTGTTGACATAATACACCTTGACAAAAACATTCCATTGGTCTAAAAATTAAAAGGTAAACAAGAAATCTTAATTAGTTTAAACAAAAAAAAGATTGTTGTAATTAGAAATAAATGTTTAGATTTATTTTAATAAACAATATATTCATCAAATGAATTATATCATATAGATGAATTTCCTGAATTGTTTCATTTATTAGAATAATTACTTATCATACATACCGGTGATAATATGATATTGGATGATGATGATGATGATGATAATGATAATGACAATGATGAATTTGTGTTGATTCTTCGTAATATTGCACCACTGGTATTCGATTGGAAGATGATCGATGATTGAATTCAGGAGAGCAAATATTTCGAGAATATTGAGTATATGAAGAAGATGGTTCTAACTGATGTAAAACACGTATCGTTGGAATAGATCTATTAGAAGTTTCAGGTGTAATTATATCTGTAATTAGTAATGTTTATTTTATGTTAATTTTAATGATACAAATTATTTCAAAAAAAAAAAGCTTTTTTATTTTAATGACTTTTTTTTTGGTATACTTTAGATGAAAATCTATGCACTGTCTAATTAATGATAATAAATTAATTTAATATAATATTTCAACAAACATTTGATAATAGAGTGAATAAATTTTAAACTTTAATAAGAAATAATTTTAAAAAAAATTAACAAATTTATATGGTAGGTAAATTTGTAATGTGAAATTTTTGTACAGTAATTTATGAATGTCATATGGAATTCAATAATTATCCTGTCATTTAATTAATATTACAATAAAAGATTACCTTTACCATTTTAATTAGTTATTGAGATATTTAAGTAAACAGATTATTAACTTTCTTTTTTTTTTTTTTTTGGAGAATACCTGACCTGCGGTAAGATTGTGAGAATATTTTGAGGAATTGGTACTATTTGTTGTTTCATAGTTACTCAAATGCGATTCTTCAGCAGTAATTCCATTTGTAAATATATTTGTGTCAATGTCTAAAGAATGCAAAATAATTTTTAATTAAGGTAAAGAACAAGAAAAAAAACAAAAACTTTAATCAATAATTTGTAATTATCAGAAATAAAAAGCAAAAACTTTAATCAATAATTTGTAATTATTAGAAATAAAAGACAAGAAAACAAAAACTTGAATCAATTATTTGCAATTATCAGAAAAGATTAATTATCGAAAAAAAATTTTTTTTTTGGAATAACTTCTATCATTAAAATTAACTTAAAGTAATCATTGCTAATTACCAATACCAGAAAAAAAAATTTTAAATCGAAAAAAATTTTTTTTTTCGATTTTTGAAGCTTTTCTTTTTTTCTCCATGTTTTTATTCTTTTTTCAAGTAATTAAATTTAAGATTATGGAGAAAAGTCTTTTTTTTGTGAAATGAATTTTGTTTTTATTTTTTTAATTGGTTTAATTTAACAAATGAGTTCTTAGCATTATTAAGAAATTAATCTAATAGCTTATTAGTACGCTTGACATGAAACTTTCTTACGTTAAAATTTTGACGTAAATTCAGAAGTTACGCACGTGTACTTCAAATAAATAAAGTATGCAAGGAATAATTAGATAATAAAAGATGAAAAAAAAACATAAGGAATAAGAAAAAAAGAAATATTCGAAAAAAGCAAAAAGATGAAAAAATTTTTATCAATAAATTTTGTCATTTCTTTTTTTCTTTTCGTCTACTTTTATCACCTAATCATTTATCAAACTTTCCAATCAAAACTTACGGATAGTTTTACGTCGAAATTTCAAGCGGAAAATTAATTAATTTGAACTAATTAATTTGCATACAATTTGATCTAAACTTTCGTGAACTCATTGTCATTGTTTACAAGTTATACTTAATCATTTCAGACATTTCAGATTATCTATTTCTTCCAATCAATAATCCATTAATTATCAATGCTATATTATCATTGTAATCAAAAATGAAACTAGCCATTATCATCATGATAATAAGTTGCATTCTCCCAATAATTAACTGTTTGATCGCCAAGCTTTGTTGGTGTACGTAATGACATCTAAAATTTAATTTAATAAATTCAAAAAAAAAAACGAGATTTTTTTTTTTCTGATATAAATTTTTTGTAGAAAAATGCAAATATCTTTAAAAAAAAAAAATTGCAATAAATTAGCATTTTATTTAGCAATTTTGAATTTATTTTTAATAATAATGCTACAAAAAATGAAAAAATTATTAATAAAAAACTATCAAACATCTTTAAAAAAAAAAAATAAGCAAAGAATGATTTTTATTTATTTTTTATGAAATTAATTTAGTAAATTATTTTCTCTTTTAATTGAAATTTTTTCCCGATCAGAATTTGAATATATTTAAATTTAAAAAGTCATTCCCAATAGCAAATCATAAAAAGTTAGCAATGGGAAAAAAAACTTTTTTTAATTTAAATTTAATTTTAGTAGCAAAATCTTAAATAATTGGTATTTTTTTTTTTTGAAAAAAGGAAACTAATTCGAAAATTAAAAGTTTAATTTTCATATGCTTCTATTATTTTTAAAAATTTGAGAAAATATTTGAGTTATAAAAAATTTGAGATATTAAAGAATTCATCAATTTTAATTAAGTTATTTAATTTAGGTGAGAAAAAAAAGTTAATTAACTATTTATTTAGAAAATTTTTAGAAAGGAGTGGGAAAGATGTTATATCTAGCTGATGAAATACTCATATCAAAAATGATTAGAATTATCATTGCGGTATATTTTGTGACTTTAGTTATCGTTTACTCTCATTATCTTATCAAATGCATAAATTAGGATCATTCATTAGAACAGATTTTCTACCGTATTTGTTGATATAATGGAAAATGCATTTGTTGACTAATTACTATCTTTTTCTTTTTTCTTTTATATCTTCTGTTTTCAGATATAATCAATTATGAAATTTATAAAATTTAATACAAATCATTGATAATACGCTTGAGTTTTAAATTAAATTTCATGTTAAATTTGAAATTTGAAACTTAAAAAAATTTGAATTTTAAAACCTAAATAATTTTATTAATACGGCAAACAAAGAATATTGCATCGTTTAAAAATATAAGCAATTAATTAAATTTAAAATCGCTTCACTAACAAATTATTAGCATTTTTTTTCCCTTTTTTCAAATTATGCAAAAATCTGTATGATATTTGAATAATAAATTTTAATTAATAATAAAATTCTTCAAAAATTTCCAAAAAAAAAAATTAAACTTATGTAATATAAGAAAAAATAAATAGAAAATGAAATGAAATCCCTCATTTAATTTGAAATAAAAATTAGTAATAAATAGTTAGGAAAAAAAAAATAAGAATAAGAAGAAAAATGATGTACCAAACGTTATCTGACATTTCAATATGCTTAATTAAGATATAGGTAACCAGAAGTATCCAAGAAAGCCATCAGCAATTTTTGGTTGATCTTTGCTGATTTCAAATTTGATGTTTGGTACTTGAAATCATATTTGTTGATTGCTTATTCTTAGTCTATCGGTATATCTCTTTGATTAATCTGTTGAAGTAGCCCAATGATAGTCAGTTTGTGATGACAAGTATGCCACTTCAAATTATACATGTCTCATTCATATCTGTATAGAATTGCTTCTATAAATTTTCGAGTGTTTATTGCTAACTTAATTGTCAACTTAATTATTAAATTCATTGTATATGACATTTAGTATTAGCTACAAACATATCTTATTGTTACTTTTAGTTTATTCAATCAATTTGTAACAAATTATTCATGTGAAAAAAGAGAGAAGGAAAATGATAAACGGAAAAAAACAAATGTTTGTTTATTATAATATTGAAATTTTAAATTTTATAGTAAATGTAAAATTTTTAGGTCAAATTTTATATTTATTTTAAAATATAATAAAAAAAATCATATCATTACTTGCTTACTTTATATTAAATTTTATCCTTTTTTATTTTAACATAATTTTTGCAATGACTTAATTTCATTATTTTGCATAATGATTTCGCCCTTTCTTTTTCCTTCTTCTTCCTCTTTTTTTTTTTAAAGAGGTAATTTGTAAATT